ACACACACACACACACACACATACATACAGACGTATGGACATCATCGTAAAAATAGTCAGGGAAGCTTCCTGTGACCTTCAAACGTCGAGATCTGATGAAAACTCTGGTGAAAACTATAACTTCCCGATTTTTGAAAATCTGAGATTTTTAGCGGGAAGTTAAAAATTATTAATTTTCACAAAAAAATTATTTATCAGTTAATCAAATTTTTTTTTATTGTTAATAAAAAAAGAAAATTGTTATTCTTTTTTTTTTTAACTAATTTGTCAAAACAATCAATATCAAATATTTTTTTAATTATTTTTTAATTACATCATAAAAATAGAACATTCATTTTTTCGTAATTATTATAAGCAATTACCGTATAAAAATGCTATCAAGGCGAGTGATTAGTTATTTTACGCGGAGTTTAATCAACCTATTAATGATCTTATATTTTTAAAAACAAAAAATCTCTGATTTTTATTAATCAATTTAATTTTTCAGCCGGGAAAATCAAGAAGAGTGCAAGCAACCAACGGCACTAAAACAGAGCTTGTTTACATGGACACAACGACGCCTCTTGACGATCACGAGCGAAGTGATCGGCCATTGGAACCCAAAAATTGATTTGTTATTTAAAATCAAGTGATAAATTTAAGTTATATTAAGTAAAAGACAATAGTTTACGAATTCAAGGCCCGTCGTTTAGAAGTAAAAATACTTGACCAAGTTTATTATTTTTATTTTTTTTTTTTTCATTATTATTAGTATTACTAATCAAGGTTGCTATGAATTAAATTTTTTTAGTAACGTATTTTGATATATATCGAAATTTAAAAATTATATAATGTTATGATCATAGATTATGACCGACTTTAAATGAGACGACTGAGGCGTGCCAAAATAATTTTTATGAAGAATTTAAAATTTTTTGCTGTTGACAGATCTCTTAGTAACAATTTTAGTAATTCGTGGTTTGTTACACTGCCTACGCTGAATTCAAGGATGTCTTGATTAAAAATTTTTGATAATAATTGTTTAAATTAATTCAAAAATTTTTCTTCTTTAAGGTAACTTTCTTTTCAGTGTATGAGAATAATAATTAATATGTGCCAAGTTTATGATTGCCATTTAAATAGTTACCACAATTGATGAATTTAGTTATCACATCCAAATATTCAAGTTATTTTAATCAACGTTAAATGCTATAGAATTTATCCTCGAATTTATTATATATTGTTAGTTATTAGGTATATTACTAATTTTGAAAACGTCATTCCATGTCTTGTTGATGAATGATATCATTTAAATTTTTAAGAAATGTTAAGCTGTAAAGAATTTGAAAATACTCGATGTAATATTAATTAATGAATTTAAAAAATTTTATGTATATGTGGATGATACAGAATATTTTATATATATTTTGATGATCAAATGTTTATATTCATATTTTTTATAAGCTATAAAGAATTGATTTAATAAAAAAATTGATTCATTTATAAGAGAAAAATGTTTTTTTTTTTTTTTAATTAGTAGAAAATTATTGAATAGAAAAAATAGAAGTAAATTTTTCAGAACTACAAAAAATTTGCAGCATTTTTAAAATGAATGCAATAAGAAAATTTTTTCAAATAGATGGATTGTTTTTGGTCTAGAAAAATAAATAGATATGGTAATTGAAGATTGTTTAATATACTTTTAGATGAATTTTACAAAAATTGGATAATTCATCACTTTCAGAAGTTATTTCAAGAAGAACCAGTACATAAAAGTTTAATTATTGGCATTTTTTGAAAATTTTGAGTTTTTACTGAGAATTTCATTATGATAATGATAATCATAGAGATTTTAGTTAAAATAAAGCAAGAGTCATATTGATCTAATGATGAGATAAATATGAAAAAAATGATCAAGTAATAAATGTTTTTGCCTACTGAAAAAAATTAACTTAAATCGAGAGAAAAATTCTTGAACCAGGAAAATAATTTGGAAGAATTTTATTGTCTTGAATCAACTCGTGTAAAAATCATTTGATATCATGATGAGGTTTATTATGAATTTCATAATGAATTCCATATTTTGACATAAATATGAGATTCATATAAAAGCCATATCAAAATACATTTGAGACCCGTAATAAGTAAAATACTTATGGGAACGAATTTTTTTTTTTAAGTAGATTAGTAAAATTTTCATTTTTTCTGTTAATCAGAGGAAATGTATAATAATTGAGAAAAACAGTATTTTTGTCATGCACTATACTGTTGAACTACTTTACTTTCTTCCTTGATTTTCTTAACTTAGAAGAATATTAAGAAAAATATTAACTGTCTTGGTTTGAAAAAAATTTTTGACTAAAAAAATTTTTTCGTCTGTAGATAATTATTTTTATTTTGAAAACAATTTTAATCTTCCTAAACATTTCTTTAATTTAATTAATTTGCATTATTTCCTGTATATAGTTATGAGTTATGACTCAATAATTTTATATTGCGATTTAAAAAGGCTAACAATATCACTATGATATCATTATGATTTTATGCAGATATGACCATCACTTTATTCCGAATTCATGTTAATATCATAATGATTTCATAATCAAATTACTAGAAATTTTCTTTCTCCAACAAAAAAAATAAAAATTTTATAGTCAAGTGAAAAAAAAAAGTTGGTTCCCATAAATATTTTACTTATTACAGGTATGAAATGTATATTAATATGGCTTTTATATGAATCTCATATTTGTGTCAAAATATGAGATTCATTATGATATTCATAATGAACCTCATCATGATATCAGATGATTTTTACGGAGATTGGATTTTGAATAGATTTTATCAGAAAATTTTTAAATTACCACCTCTTCAATTTATTCAATTGTCTTATTTATATTAATTTATTTGTTAAATGAAATTTCTTGTAATTTTCTAAAGTTCGGCCAATTTCAGTCTCATAAAATTTTATCAACATCCAATATTAGTTCATTACTTTTTTTAAATATATTGTTATTATCAAATTTAAGATGTCAAGAATTGGAGCAAAAATGAAGTTTTACTTCTTATTGCGGTCTATAAAGAATACCAGCTTGAATTTCTGGATGCAAATATTACCAATGGCGATGTTTGGCTCAAAATTGCTACGAAAAATTTCTTAGCTTAAGGTAGTACTACCGTTACTACAAGAGTCAAATCCCAAGATCTAACCTTATTTGATTAACGTAGTAGATTTCCCTATACTAAATCGCGTTGTAGAAAGACAGACAGAGATAAATTTTGAATGTTTTTTATTAACAAATATTCTTATATTCTCTGAAACTATACTAATTGTAAGTAAATATATTCTAGATGTTATTTTTTCTCGTTGTCTTAATTTTTATAAGAATCTGAACTTCCAGTTTTGTGAAATAAAATAAAGTCTGAGATTTTCCATAAGGATTAATGGTAAAGGCAAAAATATGTAAATATTAATATCTTCTTTTCAGTTCTCGGTAGGCCTCCAAAAATGTAAGTGGTTAATTAAGATATTATTATGTTACTATGTACCTATATGCCAACTTTCATCAAATTCTGAACGTCAATTCTAAAACCGGTAGTACTACCCTAAGAATTTTTCTTCTCAAATCAAGAAGATGAAGTTCTTCAAAATTATTAACTTGATTCAAGTAAATTTTTTTTCTATGTATGTAAAAACTTTAATTTGGTGATATTATCGTTGCAAAGAACATTTACTCGCAAATAAATTTCATCCATTATTAGATTTATTGAAAATTAAAATTATTTCTTGATGAAATAATTATAAGACTATGTTTGCTTCATTAGGCTGCAAATTTGGTTGAGGGGCAGGTATTTCTTCGTTGGGTTCTTTATTCTGATCATCTTGTAAATCATCGTCGGGTAATTTATCATTGAATATCAACGACAAATTATGTAACACAGCACAAGCTACAACAATTGTCGTTGAACAAATAAGTTTAGTTGTTAATCCTCTTGATAAACAAGGAAATCTTCGCTTCCAAACACCATAAGTCCTTTCAACTATTATTCGAGTTCTACTCTGAATATTATTATAGCTGTTTCAGGCAAAATTCTGTATATTAATAAAAACTCTCTGTTATAAAAATAAATATTATTTATTGCTGCTTACGCTATTTGTTCATCTGTAACTGGATTGGCAATGGGCGTCATTAGAAAAGGTAGGCATGGATATCTAGCATCACCGACAAGTATACCAGTTAGTTCACGTTCAGAATATCTCTTGTAAATTCGAGAATTTTGAAAAATTCGACTATCATCAGCGCTACCAGGCCATTCTGGGACGATGTCTAAAAATTCCATTCGTGGGCCAACAATCGTCTACGAAATAATAAAAATTGTTATATTATAATTTGTTCAGTCTGTAATAACTACACAGAAAGAAAAATTTCTTGACCTTGAGAAAATTTTTCTCTTGAATATTTGTTACTCATTTCATATTATTTTAGTGTGCACTTATACATATTGAATAAAAAGAAATGATTTAATATTATTTGATCTTCCCATTTGACATGTTAATCACTAAAAATATTAATAAAAATTTACTTCTATCTTTATATTTAATTTATTGGAGCAAGAGAGAAATTTTCTCAAGACAAGAAAATTTATTTCTATCAAGAACTAAATTTTTTGGAGCAAGAGGCTGAATTTTCTCAAAATAAGATTTTTTTTACGTAAATAAATTTTCTTGGATCAAGATACGTATTTCTTAAAGCAAGAGAATTAATTTTGTTGAAATAAGTGAAATTTCTTGTCAAAAAATTTTTTTTTTCACTCAAGAAAATAATTAGGAAGAAATAGATATTTATGTCATAAGGCCGTGATGTGGCGGTTTTCTGACAGCGACGATATTTCGATATGAGCTTAAGGTTTGTGGCGGGAAGGTTCGAAATGGGCGTAATGTTAACGTCCGAGGCGTAGCCGAGGACGGAATTTTACGCTCGTTTTCGAACATTCGCGTCACAAATATTAAAGCGAATATCGAAAAAAAGTCGTTGTCAAAATCGCCACTAAACGGCCGAATGACGTACAATATTTTTTGTTATTATCGCTCCATAAGTTTAACTTTTGAGGGATAGGAGGCAAATAATGACATATTTAAATTTTAGGAAGTTTCACAAGGCCAAAAAAAATTAATTTTATGTTAATTATCTTTTTATAAATCTTAAAATCTTGCTCACGTCCAGAAAATGTAAATAACTTTTTATTAGTATTTATTTATGGCGTTGTTGTTATTTTATTAACATTAGATCCGCTTCGTAATAAACTGCCAGCAGAGAAATAATTAGCGCCACTCAATAGTAACTAAGACTAAAAATTATCGGTCGGTACGCTAGAATGTGACTTTTTTTTTTACAATCTCTCTCAATTTCGTCTGGGTGTACATGAAAAGTTCGTAAAAAAAGGAGGGGGTAAAACTTCACGGCCTAGGCCGTGAAAAAAAGACGGTATGGTAGAGTCTCTAGAAAAGAGTCCCTTTACGGACGCCACCCAGCGCTCAGAAGTTGAACTTCTGGAGCGAGTATAACAAAAAATATTTTCTTGGCTCAAGTGAACCTTTTTTTCTATGTAGTGAAAATAAAAACAAGTGAAGCA